ACCCTTCTGTAGTTCCACCAGCTGACTGACTTCTCTCTGAGTTGCCTTGATCTTAGCCTCCAATCTCATTTTCAAGTGGGGGTATGTACTGTTGTTCTTCTTGATTGTGTAGCCACGCATTTCCAGGATTACAGCAGCTGTAGCATATACCAGTTCATTGGTTTGAGTTATGGTGGTAGGAGGGATTGTCTGGAGGGCTCTATTGGCATCTTCTAGCATACTATCTGATGGTACTTTATACACACACACACACACACACACACACACACTGTACATACATACATACAGTATGTATATACACACACATAATGTTATTGAAAATTTTAAACGCAAGAATAAGACTAATACAGATTAAAAGAGAATGAAAAAGAAAAGAGAAAAATGAAAAAAATGAAAGAGCAAACTAAAAATGCAAAAAGAAAAAGAGTAGCAGAAAAATAGAAAAGAAAAAAATATAAAAAATGGCTTCCAATCTTCTTTACAGCAGGTATAGGTACAATTATAAACTGACCTCTTTCTCTAAAGTTACTGTACATCATGACCCTCTTCTTTCTACAATCTATCCTATCTAATCATCAAAACCATAAATCATAAGTTCTTTTTTTGCTTTTTTATGCAAAATGTTCATAAGGGGTTTACAGCCACCAATAGATGTAGATATTGTCTTTTCTCTAGTCAATCAAATCAGTTTGGCCATTTCAGTGAGTTCTGTCATCTTCACCAACCATTCCTCTGTCGTAGATATTGCTAAATCTTTCCATCTCTACAATACAATACAGTACAATAATCTTGCTGCAGTTATCATATATAAAAACAATGTTCCATGACTTTTTTCCAACTGCTTATCCATCAGTCCCAAGAGGAAAAGTTCTGGTTTCAGTTGAATGTTAATCTTTGAAATCCTCTGAATCACTGTAAGTATTTGAATACAAAATTTTCTAGTTTTTTTGCATATCCACCAAGCATGATCAAATGACCCTTCTTGCTGTTCACATTTCCAACATAAATTTGAAGTATCTTTATACATTCTAGATAATTTTTCTGATGTCATATACCAACAGTACATCATTTTATAAAAAATTTCATTAAGATTATAACAAAGTGTAAATTTCAGTCCTTTTAACCACATTATTTTTCCATCGTTCCATCTGTGTGCTAGTGTATCCAAATTTTATATACTATCATACATTCCTTGACTGATTCTTCTTCTTTCAAATTTCAAGAAAAGTTTATCCATTTTAGCAATCACATGTTCATCATTTGTACACAATTCTGTTTCAAAGTCAGTCTTACAATGTCCATAAATTCTTTTATTTACTTTAAATCTTTCTGATAACTGTAAATAAGAAAACCATCAACAACCGTGCCCCTCTGCCATCAGTTGTTCTTTTGATTTGATTTTATATTCCCTTTGACGAAATTCTAGTATTTCACAATAGGTTAGCCATTTGTGTTTGACTATTATTTTTTGTCTATAGAATGCTTCTTGTGCTGAGAGCTACAAAGGTGTTTTTGGGTACAGCCTGGATTTGTATCTATTCCATGTTCTCAATATGGCACGTCTAACATAATGATTTTTGAAATCTACATTGACCTTGACTTTATTGTATCACAAATATCCATGCCACCCAAATCTCAGGTCATTTTCTTCTAACTCTAAATCTTCTATTTCTCAGCAACACCCACTTTTTCATCCAAACCAAACAACAAGCTGTAAAATACAATTTCAAATCAGGTAAACCCAATCCTCCTCTTTCCTTTGCATCTTGTAACACACAATTTCAAATCAGGTAAACCCAATCCTCCTCTTTCCTTTGCATCTTGTAACACACAATTTCAAATCAGGTAAACCCAATCCTCCTCTTTCCTTTGCATCTTGTAACACACAATTTCAAATCAGGTAAACCCAATCCTCCTCTTTCCTTTGCATCTTGTAACACCTTATATTTAACTCGTGGCTTTTTCCCTTGCCATAAAACTTAGATATATCTTTTTGCCACTGTTTAAATGGTACATCAGTTGCCAAAACAGGTATTGTCTGAAACATCATTCAAGGCAAGACATTTATCTTTATCATAGAAATTCTCCCCAACAATGACAATTGTAGTTTCTCCCATTTTAACATATCTTTTGTAACCCCATATCTTGACATAATTATTTTGAAATAACATACAATTCATATTTGCCATGGTGATACCTAAATATTCTATTTTTTTTCAATTTTAAAACCCATTTTCTTCATCAGTTTAGTTTGATCCTCTATTTTCATGATTTTGTTAACATCTTTGTCTTCTGATTATTAATCTTAAAACCTGCTAGTATACCAAATTCTCTTAATTTTCCCATTAATGTTTCTATTCCCTTTAGTGGATCCTCCAAAACCAATAGCAAGTCATTAGCAAATGCCCTTAACTTATAAGTTCTTTTTAAATCTTTACTCCCACAATTCCCTCATCTTGCCTTATATCTCTATTCAATATTTCAAGAACTAAAATACACAGGAGAGGAGACAATGGGCATCCCTGTCTTGTCCATTTTTGTACCTCACAGGGTTTTGTTAGATCTCCATTGACAATTATTCGTGCCTTCTGTGAAGTGTAAATCAATCTTACTCATTTAATAAAATTCTCTCCAATATTCATATCTTCCAAAACTTTAAACAGGAAGACTCAGTTGTCAAAGGCCTTCTCTGTGACTAAAAAATCAATGAGGCTTGTTTTTCATTATGTTGCTCCAAGTATTCCAAAAAGTCCAACACATTTCTTATACTGTATTATCCTTTAACTGTCTTTTAGGTAGAAATCCACATTGATCCTCATGAATAAATTCTTAAAAAATTATTTTCAACCTCTCAGCCAAAATCGTTGTAAACATAGTCATTGTTCATTAACGATATTGGCCAATAGTTTCTTTTTAAAGTCAAATCTTGTCCCTCCTTAGGTATTAGTGCTATATTAGCCTCTTTCCAGCTCTCTGGCACCTTTCCCCTCTGTAAAATAGAATTCATCATATTTTGTAAAGGTTGTAAAAGTTCATCCTCAAAGCATTTATAGTAAGAAGCCAGTAATCCATCTGGCACAGGCATCTTTTAGACTTTTTTATAGATTTGCAAACATCCTTTACTATTATGGGTCCATTCATAATCTGTTTCTGTTTCTCTGTAATCTTCAGTAAATTTTGTTTCTTTAAATATTCATCTATTTTCTCCAGGGTAATTTCTTGTCCTTCATATAAATTGGAATAATATTGATGAAATACTTTTTGCATAGCCACATTATCTGTTATTACATTATCTCCCTCTTGTAATTTCAATATGATTTTCTTTTTTCTTTTCATAATTTGTATGCCAACCACTTCCCTGGTTTATTTGAAAACTCAATTTTTTTTGCATAATTCATTTTTATTTCCATTTTTCTTACTATTAACATAGATAATTGTCACTGTAGAAGCTTAATTTGTTGAGAATAGTTATCTTCTCTGGAAACTTCTTTAATTCCTCTTATTTTCTTTTATCTCATCCAACCTCTCATGAAAGTTTTGCTTGTGTCTCAAACCATTCTTACATCTGTACTTTTATTAAGATTATTTTTTTAAAAAATGTTTTAAATTTCTTTTTACAGTCCTCCACTATTGCATCTTTCTGTAACAGCATTTCATTTAACCTCCATGTGAAAGAACTGAATTTCCAGACCAGCTGGAAACCAGATTCACTGGATTATGATCTGAAAAGATCTTTTATGCACTCTTAAGATAACACCATTTTCTACAATCCACATGATCCAGTACAGCCCATCTGTTGTGCCCCAATCTGTTCTAAACATCAGATGCAAGGATTTTTTGAAGGGAGGAACAAAGAACTAACCTGGATTGTGAAACATGGATGGAGAAGCACTTTCCATAAATTAAAGTACCAGTGGATGTAGCCGATGTATCAGAATCCCTCCCTCCCTCCCTCTTCTATATTTATTGCAATTTATAATGCTATGTGAGATTTTCAGTGCATTTACACAAGGACTCCTTAACATTGCTGAGGCATAATTCTTTTGCTTTCAGCAACGACAATTTTTTTAAAAAAAATCTCCATCAGCAGATTCTTATCTGACTAGTGTAACTATTAAAAATGTCTTTGGTATGTACTTCCATTCAGCAGGCTTATTGTCTGGATAATATAGATACGCAGAAAGATCTTGCTGCAACTGTCCTTTACTTCTAGTATATATGGTACTGCCTACATTAATTGCAGTGACATGAATCTATTTATTTATTTGAAGTCCATCATGTCTGTAAGCTGGCCTTGAAATCAGCATAGTAGATAATTTCAGAAGACTATTCTGATGTTAGATACCATTGTGTTGGTCCTTGTCCTTGTTTTTCCATTAGCCTAAGTTTTAGGTAGAGTATAATTCAAGAACTGTTTCAAAAGCCCTTTGATGAGTCAGTCAGCCTCTGACGTTTCCTTTGAGAAAAATAACTCACATTCAGGAGCTTAGGACTGGTGAATTGCTACTATATAAACACTTAACTTGCTGAAAAACGAAAGTCCATTACTGCCGCTAGATTGTGCTTCATATAGCTTTTGAATCTGCACTGTTACACTTTGTCTGGGTTGGGTGAACTAGAAATGGAGTTATAAATTATTAGGCCTTTGCTTATTTTCATGCAATGGAACATGAGAGAACTTCAAGGGACAGAATTCAATATACACTTGGTGGTTCCTTGAGGAAAAGATAATGTAGTCTTTGAAACAAGAGCTCATTATTTAATACAAAGAAAGTGGCTACAATATCTTCACTTTGTAATTGTCTCTTGATGGATGCGGTCTCACGTACAGAAGTCACTTCAGCAGTGTGGAATTCTCTGCAAGGGGAGACCCAATTTTCAGTGTTTTTTGAAGGAAGGACAAGATGCAAATAAAAATAATCCTTTTGCACTACTTAGTCTTATCTGTGCATTCTGTCTTAAAAAAAAACAAAAACACCAAACCTGATAGAATATTGGAATAGTGCAGTTAAGTTTTATTAATGAAATCTTTTTACCTGATTTATAGTAATCCCACATCTCACAGTTTTAAATGGCTATCCTGGTTTGGTCAACATGAGGCAAGAATTTGCCCTTCTGGAAATATGCAAAGTAGCTAAGTAAGAAATAAACACGAAACCCACAGTCAGAGAGGGCTACTGCCATGACAACACACAGAGTACTGTACTATATAGGCTGTTGTTACGAGCCTGCACAGCTCTTATCCTTTAAATCAGAAATCACTACATTTCAATCTTTAATTACAATGTGTAGCACTTTTCCTTTATAAAGTATTATTCATGAATTTCAACTATTACTTTCCTAAATCAGCAGGGTACTGTAAAATAAAATGACTTCCTGCTGACCTAGTTCAACTCTGTTTTCCAGTATTGGAGCTGTGCTTGTTTTTGAAAATTATTTGGAAGAAATATTTCAAATCCTGAATAAGCACAGCACTACTCTGCTATGCATTAAAGCAGCCCAACATTATTAAGGCTTCTTCTGTGCTGCCTGTACTGTAATGCTACATTATATATCTCTTTAAAATATTGATGTTGTGTTCTCAGCTATGGAGATTCATTTCCATCAATTCTTTCTTCTTATTAAACATCTAAAATTCTGTATTCCAACTTTTCAAAATGTGCTCCAGATTAGGCAGCTCTGCTCCCTGCCATGCCTTGAACCTAGTTCTTTACCTCATGAATTTTTGTAAGGGTTTTAAAATCTGTTAAGGCAAAATGTTTCTCTTCTCTTTTCAAGCTTTTGTTCTGTTTTTTATTCTGCTTCTCTGAAAAAGCTACTGATCTCTCAAATAATAATTTAATTTACTATAAAACCATCAGTAATACTTAACACAGTATGAAGTTTTATAAATACTGTTTTTGTTTAAAAATGTAGCTTTGTGAATGCTTTGTGTTAAATAGCTTCTATTACATACTTGTTTGCATTAGGACATTTCTTAATATTATCTAAAGGAAGCTTATGTGAAATACTGACCATTGTCTCTGTGTTTTTCCCCCACCTTACAGAGCCACATAAGTGAGTCTAAAGGGGAGATCAGACTTATAAAAAGCAGGTTTCCTCATTATCAACATTATACAGAGTTATATGATAAGAATAAGCTGCTTACAAACAAGGTTTGTTATTTTTATTAGTCATAAAAATATCTGAGTAAATGTTGCCCTTTGAGTTACAAGTACTGCTGAAATAGAATAAATGTTGATCAATCTTGTAATTAGGAAAATAGACACTGTTCAGTATTCTGAGTTACAATGCATGCAGGCAAAAGCAATCTTACTTGTTTATGTATTTAATAATTTGTATGTCGTTTCCCCCCTTAAATGGAACTCAAAATGACATTCCTATTGAGACCAGCTTAGCATTGGTAATATGACTGTATCATGTTCCCACAGGGCATATCCTGACATCTAAACCTATTTCTTTATCTCATCATTTTTATAAAGACTTCTTAAAACTTGTGGATAAAATATTTCTGTTAGAAAAACAAACTTTTTTTAAAAAAATGAAATGTTTATGTCAAGAAGCTATTTACCACTCAACTCTGGGTTACAAAAGTCCAAATGACTACTAGGTAGCAGCAAAGGGATATAGAAAGTTCTGATTCTTTGGTTGTACAGATTTTCACCCAGATATGATATGGATACCCATATTATAATTTGAATTTGAATCTAAATTGGTATTGGCTGTATATGTAAATATATAGTTCTGTATTTTGCTTGTGTTTAGTTCATTTATACTTATTTGGCAAGGGAGATAGCTTGGAGATAGAAGATTTTAACGGTTTTATATATTTAAGCTACTATTTACAAAAATGTATTTCAAATACATATTAGTCTACTTTTAGAATATTTAAATAATTAATGGATGCGCTCTCCTTTTTTATCTGCCCATATTTTTTACTTGTAATCTACCCTTGTTCTATTATAAGTCCACAACTTTAAAATTCTAACTGCTCCCAGTTTTTACACATTATTATAATAATTGCATGAACATTCCCAATATACTAATAGCATATTTATGCTTATCTATTCAGAAGGAAATCCCACTGAGCTCATTGGGTATTACCACCATGGAAGTAAGCAGTGGTTGTCAAGGGGTTGTACTATAGGCTCTACTAAGCTGAATGTTTATTTACTTTATCTGCAAATGTGAACTTCTGAAGGAGAAGAAATATGAACAGTATTAAGTATTAGCATCTTACCAGTAACCCAAAATGGTTCCTTCCATTCAGCAAAGAATTGGAAGACCAAAAATTCTACAAAGTTTGAGCAATGTGTGGTACATCGCAGGAAGTTACTTTAGTGATTTTCACAAGAGATACTAAAATTATTATTTTAAAACCTGAATTGTCAAGATAAGAATAATTCAAATAAGCAAAGGTAATATTACTATATTTACTTTTAGACTATAATGGCTCATGGCTGCTATCTTTCTGACGAAGAGCTGGAAATATTTAAGCTTAGAGGAACTGCCATTGTACATTGTCCTAATTCAAACATATCGTGAGTAATATAATCACATCACAAAGTTATTACACTTACAAGAACTGGGTTTCTGATCAATCTTCCCCAATTTGATGCTCTTCGAAGGTGTTGGGTTACATATTGTATTATTCTCACCCTCCTAGATAAGGAAGATAAAACTGGAGAGCACAAATTTGTGGTAGGTTGCTTTAGAAAATGTCAATCATGGGTTAAATGCTGAAAGCATCCTGTTACCAGGTTTTTCAGATATGAATCTTGGGTGCCTTAAAGTGGCTTGATTTCCTTTTTTTTTTTTTTTAACAACCTAGCTCCTGTGTCTTTAACAATCTGAGACAAGAAACCTACGATGAATTCATAATCTCCATCAAACACTTTCTGGTTGTTTCCTTCCTCTTGATCCATTCACTCTCCTTTCATATATTTGTATACCAGAAAAGTCCAATCTGTATGCTTGGATTTTATTGATTTTATGCCCCAGCTTAAATACCAGGGTTGTACAAATTTCAGAAATGATTCAGAAGTCTTTTTTTGAATCTCACAGGTCCATAGAATTGGTCTGCTATTCATTAAAGAAGCCATGCTTTTTTTCAGAATTATGTAGGAGCCTGAATGCCACTAATTTAAGGGATCCATTGGTTAAAATTGACACGACTCTTAAAGCAGCCACATCTTTTTCCATCTCATACAGAAGCATGAAAAAAATTGGACTATTTTAATAAACAGTATTGAGGTACTATGTTCTCATGAGATTTGAAATACTTCTGAATCGTTTTTGATTCAGCCTTATTAAATACATCACTTGCTCAGGTAATGTGGAACTTCCTCACAGCAATAGCATTTATGAAGTTATATCTAAAACAATGGCAAAGCTGAGCTCATACATTCTATTTTTATACATCTTGTTCTAGCACTTTGTGAATAGTTTTTAATGTTTCAATACATCTGTTACAACCTATTCTTTTTAATTATAAAGATGGTATCTTTTCATTCTTCTATTTCCAATCTAGATTAAAAAGTGGGCTTTTAAACACAAGGAAGATTCTGAATCACAATGTGAAACTTGGATTAGGCACAGGTTAGTGATTTATTATGTAAGTGTTAACTTTCAGGTACTGTTTTAAAAGATTAAAAAGGAGATAAGCCACATACATATGCACATGATGCATGTGGAATACAGGTAGTCCTTGCTTACCGACCACTCGTTCAGTGACTGTTCAAAGTTACAATGGTGCTGAAAGAGAAGACTTACAACCAGTCCTCAAAGTTGCAGCTGTCGCAGCATCCCCGTGGTTGCGTGATTGCAGTTCAGGTGCCTGGCAACTGGCATACATTTACGATGGTTGCAGCATCACACAGTCATGTGACTGCCATTTCCAACCTTCACAGCCAGCTTCCGAAAAGCAAAGTCAATGGGGAAGCTGGCAGGAAGTTGCAAGTCACAGTCTCATTATGTTTCGCTTAATGATCGCAGTTAGAACCTATGCCATAAGTCGGCGTGGTCATGTGACATTTCACTTTATGACCACATCTCTTAGCGATCAAGTTGCCAGTCCCAATTGCGATTGGAAATGAGAACTACCTGTAGTGTGTAGAATATCAGTGGTATCCACAAGGAGGGCTAAGGGGTGAGAATATCATAAGTAGCACTGTAGCATTGTGACATAAGCCCTGCCCCTTTTCTATAAGCATATGACAATATCACACATGCCCCAAATAGGTGGAGCTTGTGCTACAATGCTACAATGCTGCTTTCTCCATTCTGATGAAAGCTATAAAAACATGCAGATGCCACCGAGCAATATATGGATCCAACTATTCCCTCCAATTTTCATTATGGAAGAAGAGCTAGTTCTGGCAAAAAAAATAGGGGGCAGGGGTTTGAGAAGAAATGGGAATTATACGCTTTAATGTAAAAGAGATTTTCAATAATATTGGTTGACACCGTATTAAATAGAGAAACTGAGCGAGATTATAACCCGTTTGGGCATTTTTATATCCTTGAGCGTTCCATACATCTCCCTGTCCTTCACTGAGATGACTCCCTACAACCATGGGACTCTCCGTGCACTCCCTGCAGGGAATCAGTGTCGTTTGAGTGATCTCAGAGATGGGAGGAGTTTAACTGGAGCATTTGGATTGCACATTCCAACTGTGCGGCATTCCATGAATAAAATGGAATTATATAAATAAAATGAAACTTTTCCTGATAGTTGCTTAGGAAAGGGCATAATTTTCTGAGACAACTCTATAGTAAACATAATAAACCAAGCAGCTGCAACCATCTACAGGCCCCTCCAGCTACTGCCTGATTATCGAATATATATAAACTTCAGCCCCATCATAGCTGTGTCATCTCAGATGCTGGACATGGATCTGTTTACCATTTGCCTGTGTACCATTCACTGGGGGGCAGTTGTGGTGCGGGGTCTCGGCTTTCCTTGAGACTACAGCTCTAGCAGCACCACTGTCCATACTGAGTGGAACAGCCTGTGGCAAGAATGCACAATCTCTATCAGCTTGGCAGCAGCACCAGGCCTGCACCTCATAAGTGGATAGCGGCTGGGCTTTTTGCTGGAGGAGATTCAGGAGGTGAAATGGGTGACTTAAGCATCTGAAAAGGTTAAAACCTCTATTTTGTTTCTTAAATCTCTGGAGCAAAGTGAGGAGCAAACTTTTGGGCCTACCATTTAGGCTTTGGGAGCCCAGAAAATATGCTGGCAGGCTGTATCTGACCTTTAGCTACACTTTTTGCACCTCTGGCCTACAGCATGGGCATCCTCCTGTACATAGTGAATTCCTGAAAGATATATTGCCAGCATGACGAAAAGCCTCAATGAGACCCCACCTATGTTATAATAATGATCATCTGCCTGCATATTTAATGAAACTCATGTTTCCATCTAATGCATATGGTCTTCCAGGCTGATTGTAATGTTCTGCTCTATTGCTAGATGTTGCTGGTGGCTATTCAGCTTCCATGCTTGATGCTATCAGAAATACGATTGTGGTATCTGAAATCCTTCACATTAATAAAGAGAGTGATGAAAAAGGCTTAACTCTGAAGGAGGCATTCCGACTAGCAACTCTTGCAGGAAGTCAAGGTAATGAAATTCTCCTTCTACTCCTCTGTTTAATTGTCTACCCCAAAAACACAGAAGTTACATCTGATATTCTAATCTGGCTTGGAATAAACTTTTCATTTGGACCTTAGCATGTCTTACATCCTAACCACTACATTATACTGACCAAATACACCCTGTGTGCTAACCCCATAGTTTACTTACTCATGGTTTGTTGAATAAAACACAGGAGTTCATACTTCATGTAAGCCAAAACTAAAGAGACTAAAACACCATAGCTTAATGTGACGTCTGTACCAAATTGCTAAAATATGTGAGTGCCAGTGTGGTGTAGTAGATAAGGTGCTGAATTAGGACCAAGATGCTCTGTTCAAGTGTTACTTTTTACCATGAAAATTCAATGGATAACTTTGTATCATTTGCTATTTCTCAGCCCAATTTATCTCACATGCTTATTGTGGGGGGAAAATGGAGATGATCTATTACTGATCTAATATGCTATGTTGAACATGCTAGAAATAAGGGGGAATGTTTTCCATAAATTTACTTTGATCCTCTTCTGCTTTCTCTTATTAGCTTTGACAGGCATGGCTGTTGATGTTCTACTGCCCTCTGCTGTTTAATGTGGAAACTATATAAAAGAGAAAGGAAAAATCACACCATAGAAAGACAGTCTGAGAAGGTTTATTACTAAGTTACTAAAATTTAGTATTTCCAAAACAGTATTTCTCAGAGTTGACACTGGATCAGTTCCCTGCGGAATGACTATCCCTCTTTTGGCCATCTGATTTTATTTTATTTTATTTTATTTTAAAGAATTTGAGTAATTTTCCCTTTCATGGCCTGGGGCAATAAAACTTTAGCTCCTTCAGCATCATATTTTCAGGCAGTTTTAAAATATGTTTTAGGGCAGCCTATAAAACAAGGAATTCTGTTTTATGTAGAAGTGGCTTCAAATGAAAGAGCATTTTGATTTTGATTGCAAAACACCTGCTTGGCTATATAATAAATTTATCCCATACAAGTGAATATGTATCACTTTAAGATGAAACAATTTTTTCATGAGTTGTTTCTTTGCAATTTCATAAAGACTTCTTGTGTTGTCCTGGTATCATTCCAAGTCTCCTGAGACACAGTTTGAAAGGATTTTTTGTTTGTTTAATAAACTGAAACTGATATCACATAAGAGTCGATCAGTAGTAGATTTATGTCCAGCCTATATACTTACCTTCTTCTCACTCCCTTGGCACTGGATTACAATCTGTTCCTCTTCATAGCCTACTTTATGTGCTGCAGTGGGAGAGAGAGAAGTCTTTTTTTCATTTGTTCATTCCATGGAAGGATGTATATGTGTGAAAGGTTGGGAGTAAGTGGTAGGGGATGGTAGGATAGACAGAATGGAAACAACTTCATATTAAGAAACAACTCAGAAAATGGTGACCTTCTGTCAGCCATGGATGCAGGAAAACAACCTGCTTCTTTGCTGCATATACAGTCAGGTCCAGAAATATTGGGACATCGACACAATTCTAACATCTTTGGCTCTATACACCACCACAATGGATTTGGAATGAAACAAACACAATGTGCGTTAACTGCAGACTGTCAGCTTTAAACAATTCTAACATCTTTGGCTCTATACACCACCACAATGGATTTGGAATGAAACAAACACAATGTGCGTTAACTGCAGACTGTCAGCTTTAAACAATTCTAACATCTTTGGCTCTATACACCACCACAATGGATTTGGAATGAAACAAACACAATGTGCGTTAACTGCAGACTGTCAGCTTTAAACAATTCTAACATCTTTGGCTCTATACACCACCACAATGGATTTGGAATGAAACAAACACAATGTGCGTTAACTGCAGACTGTCAGCTTTAAACAATTCTAACATCTTTGGCTCTATACACCACCACAATGGATTTGGAATGAAACAAACACAATGTGCGTTAACTGCAGACTGTCAGCTTTAAACAATTCTAACATCTTTGGCTCTATACACCACCACAATGGATTTGGAATGAAACAAACACAATGTGCGTTAACTGCAGACTGTCAGCTTTAAACAATTCTAACATCTTTGGCTCTATACACCACCACAATGGATTTGGAATGAAACAAACACAATGTGCGTTAACTGCAGACTGTCAGCTTTAAACAATTCTAACATCTTTGGCTCTATACACCACCACAATGGATTTGGAATGAAACAAACACAATGTGCGTTAACTGCAGACTGTCAGCTTTAAACAATTCTAACATCTTTGGCTCTATACACCACCACAATGGATTTGGAATGAAACAAACACAATGTGCGTTAACTGCAGACTGTCAGCTTTAAATCCATTGTGGTGGTGTATAGAGCCAAAGATGTTAGAATTGTGTCGATGTCCCAATATTTCTGGACCTGACTGTATATGCAGCAAAGAAGCAGGTTGTTTTCCTAAAGCTGACAGTCTGCAGTTAACGCACATTGTGTTTGTTTCATTCCAAATCCATTGTGGTGGTGTATAGAGCCAAAGAATTGTGTCGATGTCCCAATATTTCTGGACCTGACTGTAATTACCACAGTATAGACTTCCAAATGGCTTTATATTATGTCTTATTGAATTTTAGCTGGATCTTCCCACACCTGTTCTCTAACTGTCTGTCTCGCTGATCCAGCTCCTGCGATTCATTTGCACATAATGGGTCCATTTTTGTAGCAATGCTTCCTAATAAATTCTCGACCCTAGGTATCAATTGGGGCATCAGTAGAAATGGCAATGGGATTAATCCCAATTTTTCCCAAGGGCCTTGCAAAATTGCTTTTGGGAGTAGACTATTCTAATAGGCTCTATATCCTTGCAGAAGTGAAAGGCAGCTGCAGATCTAAGGTTAATCAGATGGTGATCCACCCATAACAATGGGGATCACCTCCCCAATCAGATAGAAGATAAGGTCAAACTTGTGCTGTGCATCATATGTTGGCTCTGTGACTAGCTGGGATAGACCCATGATTTCCATTGCTGCTATGACCTCATGAACTCCAAAGTGGATGTTGAAGACAACCAGCACCATACCTATGTGACTCTGCTAATTTTCCTCTATTGGAATATGGCCCCAATTTCAAAAGAGTTTCCTCTGTTCTGATATAAATTTACTTGTTTATTATCATTTGAAATCAGCTGATTGTAGTCTTACTGTATGCTTTGGAATAATAATAACAACAACATCAGCTGTTAAAGGATGATTTAATTAATTTAAGATGTTTTAAGGGTGATCCTAAAGGAATCTCCTGAAACAGTAATGTTTAAAATATAGTTCTCCCTCTGTTATTTAGAGTGGAGCAATACTCATAATGGAATTGCAACAAAGAACACAAGTATAACTTGTGTAAATGTAATATTGTATCCTTTCTATTCATTTCAAAATGTCATAACTTGTAATGTACTGAATTTGATTGTGTACGTTCGAAGAGGTTCATTTTTTATTTTTAATTTACAGCTTTAGGACTAGATCATATAACTGGAAATTTTGAGGTTGGCAAGGAATTTGATGCACTGCTTATCAATACCAAAGCTTCAGACAGTCCTTTCGATTTGTTTGCTTCTGACCGTGTTGAGGTAATCAAATACTGCATAACTGAAATAGGTTGCATATGTCTGGAGGAATCCACATGTGATGGAATGTCTAGAAGGTCCTGGGAACACGGGGCAAGGAGACAGATGCAAAAGTGACACCTCAGCCATGCAGGTGGGGAGGAGCATAAGAAAGAGACTCAGAGTAACTCCACCTTAAGGTGTAAGTTGATTTAGAGAATTGTTTTAATAGGTTTTCAAGGTTATTTATTTATTTATTTATTTATTTATTAATTATTACATTTGTATGCCACCTTATTAATTATTACATTTGTATGCCGCCCATCTCCCCCCAACGGGTGACTTTGGGCGGCTCACAATTAAAATCAGAAACCCCATCAACAATTAAAAAGCCCCCCATAAATAGTTATATACTTTACCCTAAAGTTATAGTTATATATTTTACCCTACTAGCAGTAAAGATATTTGCAGAAATCCAAGTAGTTCTTGTTCCTGAGTTTGCCTGCCTCACAGGTACTACCTAAACCCAGTGACTTTCCTAGTTGCTCCATAAAAACGTAAGAATCCTGCTCGATCAGGCAACGATTCAGCGTCCTCTGTCACACAGTGATCAAACAGATGTATTTAGGAAGCTCATAACCATGAAGAAGATGGTGATATTCCTTTTCCATTATTACTTCCTAGAAGCTGATATCTATGGTATGTCTCCAGTGATTCAGGAGGTAGTTATCAAGATTAGTACTTAACTGATAGCACAATTTTCCATGAATGTGTCTAATCTCCTTTTAAAGCCCCCTAAATTGAGGGCCATCATTACATTTGCTAATAGCAAATTCCATAATTTACCTCTGCAAAGATAAACATAAAGAAGTAGTTCCTTTTACTGCTCCTATCATATCTCACTTTACTTGTATTGGTTTAAATTAAAACACTACAAAAGCTATAGACTTTCCTTATAAGTAAAGTCCCTAATCATTTTGGTTTCTTTTTTTTTTTTTTTTTTTTTTTTTTTTTTTTT